TGTAAGTATATACCTGTGTATGGATAATGTAGCCTACAGATTTTGCACATAACTTTATTTTAAACAAAATTCAGCCATGGAAATTGCTAAGCTGCTGTCTATGTCTTGAATATACTGAAATTGACTTCACTGGATCTATGGCTTGAAAGTGGGCAGGATCTGCATGTTCATCCAGCACACAACAACATCCCGTGCTCCCAGTGTAACCCAACAAACAAATCGTGAATATGCATATATGATGGATTGCATTACCTGAAGCGCACATAGTCTGGGTTCTGGCCGAAGTGTTGCTTCCACACGTGAATGACGCCCCAACCGCGCACACCTGTACCTGCACTACACAAACATAGAAGCACGCGAGCTGCTGGAGTGTGAAGGAGCCATGAGGAGGCCAACCGAGGTCACAGAAGCCGGCATGGCCGCTTGCCATGGATGAAGATGAATTCTGTAACATTTCTCTTCACCTTTCACAATCGTCAACCTAGGAAGGAATCACAAATGTATACACACACAAAAAAAACTTCTTCCAATAGATCAGGGCCAACTCACTTTGGAGCTCCACCACTGCGATGCTAGGCCAGCAGCAGCGCTTGCCGAGCCTAACATGTATCCTCACATTTAGACAAAGCAAAACATACAAGATGACTGGTAGCCGATCATCATCAGAAACAAATCAAGGTTCATCCACTTGGTGCCTGTCGATGATGATATCCCATACAAGCCTCGAACAGCCTGCATGCCGGGTATTGTCCTCGTGGCCCTGACTGCAAATGATGTACCAATGATAGGAACCGGGTCCCTACTAGGACGAGCTCTCAGGTTATAGGGGTGGAAGGGAGGTTGGCGTGGAGGAAGGCGAGGTCGCCGGTGCTAGGGGAAACGGACCTGGTGGATGGGCCCCCCGGGCGCCGTCGACGAAAGGCCCGGCCCCGAGATCACCGGTGGTGGCGGCGGCGGCTGCAGCAGTAGCAGCGGCATGATGGATGCAACGGAGGTCGCCGGTGGTGGCGGCGGCCACGGGAGCTACTGCGGCTCGGTGATGGTGGTGACGGGGGCGGGCCGCTGCAGCCCATAGTGCTCTGCGAGGAAGGTGCGGATGACCTGGACCGCCTGAGTCAGGTCTTGAAGCGCCGCCGTCATCTCCTCCGGAGTGAGCACGGCGGGGGCGGGCGCGGGTGGCGTCCAGGCGGGGGAGGAGACCGACCCGGTGATGGACGACGTGCTGGCCGTGGTGGTCATCGGCGATTGGCAGCAGGAGGGAGGGGGTGGGCTGTGGCGCGGACATGATCGAGCTTGAGACACCTGATACCGGGTTGATAGGAACCGGGTCCCTACCAGGACGAGCTCTCAGGTTATGGGAGGGAGGGAGGGAGGGAGCAAGAGCGAGCGAGAGAGAGAGAGGGCGCAGGAGGCGGCGGCTAGGGTTAGGTCTCCCGGCTCCCTTTAGGAAGCCGAGCAAATATGATTGCTTCTGATCAACTTCAAACGAGTCCTTACATGAGTTCATATAATCTCCAAATACGATAACTGGGCTAAGCCCCTAATAACGATAAGATAACTGGGCTAGGCCCCTAACTGCCTGGGCTGTAGCATATGCCGGTCATAACAACCAACATACTCATTCTCGATCAAACCCTACAGCAGCATTGCTCGTTAGCATGCCAGACCCGGTCGAGGAAAGATAGGGCCTGGACAGCATATATATGGAATGAGATCTAGGACAGCGGATAGTTCCACACGGGCAAAGGTATTGCGTCTTGGATTTGAAATACCCAGCCAGCAGCATCATGATAACCTGAAGTAGCCATGGTTATTTAATTGTGGTTCATTTCATTATTTGTGCCCACTTGAAAGAATAACAGGATGGAAACTTACATATATGCAAATGAGGGTTAGGGTGCACTTGTAAGTCTCGAACCAGATGTATGCACGAATCATCACAAGTGCTTCGTTCGCCAATAGGCACATAAAGATGGTGACTATAGGTACATAAGGAACCAAACTCATTCCTGAGGCCTAGTATGAAGTAGAAAATTAGCGACCACGAAATGGACACCAGAAATACGAAGGGAATATTGGCTAGGTAGTGGCCTAGTAGGAAAACCAGTGTCCCGGAATGCCAATTTGAATCCTCATGACAATATATCTGCATAGGAGGAAACAGTGTGTTGATATGGTTTTTGGTGCTTATTGTTTTCACCAACATATTCTAGGTATAAATCACATATTCTTTAGTTAAAATTATTAGAAAGGAAGTGGCCATAATGTTGCAATTCTGCTTTAAAGAAGAAGAAAAACCGACCTTGATCTCATCAGTATGAGCAGTCACTCCACAAACACTCGGAAGGATGACAAATGAAACAAACACAAATATTGCAGAAATCCTAACCTGTCAAAACAATGCGAACATTTAGCGTCAAATCGTAAATACCGTAAATTTACTCGAGAATAGAAATGTCCAGTAAATTGAAATGTAATTCTGCACTGACACTAAACACTACAGATGACAATGACTGACCAATGTTGATAAATATGGTGCCAAGTTAGTGAGCAATATTAGAAGTACTTCCACGACATATGAATTACTCCTTTAGATAAAATTACTAGAAAGGAAGTGGCCATACTGTTGCAATTCTGTATTAAAGAAGAAGAAAAACCAACCTTGATCTCATCAGTATGAGCAGTCACTCCACAAACACTCAGAAGGACAACAAATGAAACAAAGACAAATATTGCAGAAATCCTAACCTGTCAGAACAATGCGATCTTTGAGCATCAATTAGTAAATACCATAAATTTACTCAAGAATTGAAATGTCCAGTAAATTAAAATGTAATACTGCAGTGACACTAACCACTACAGATGACAATGACTGACCAATGTCGATAAATATGGTGCCAATTGAGAGAGCAATAAGCATATACAATACAAGTCTGCTCCATAAGTACTTCCAGTCTCTTGACACAATTAACAACGATCTCTAAGTGACAATACCAATTCTTGCTACATCACTGGCTCTTCCTTTACTTTTCAAATAAGGACCTTCCTACATTACACCTTGTTTCGTTATGGTTTATGGATATTGCAGTGTCATATTTCCGCACAGAGGATGTCAATCTAACATAGTTGATTGTGGCATTCCTACTCTATGATTAGCGACAAGACAAATATGCAGTAGTTTAGTACCTTCTCAATCAATTTTGCAATCGTTGATTCAACAAGGGAGCTTCAGCCAATGACTTGTACGTCGCTTTTAATGTCCGGATTGGTACAGCAGTGTCCATGCTCATTGATGAGATATTCCTTGATCATCATGTTAATAACTACAAAGCTTTTTATCTCTCACGACGAACGAACATTTGGCCATCAAGTTGACTAAAATGGTTGGACATAATATCATAATTTATGTCATATCAAAATCAAAATATACCTGTAGATTTTTGCACATGGCTATGATACTGTCGAAGTCGGTATGATTTCCCTTAGGAAATCGTCAGATGGACTTTGCATGATTGGACATGGAAACCCAGCATTTGAGAAGTGCCATAACAGAACAAGGCCAAGTAAGGAGAGTCCTTAAAACCATAGGATGAGATATGGAAAACAGGGCCATCTACAACAGGAATAAAGATGTAGCAATAAGGATCATACAAGAAAATAGGCACTGTTTTCATGGGTATATAGTTTTTTAAAAGGGATATATATGTGACCGCAGGACAATTGAATGGGCTGCAGTAATACGGATCATACAAGAAAGGATAAATTACTCTCATGAATATATAGTGAGCGTGCACTACCTTGTGCAGGCTTGTTTGTTCACAATTCATCTTGGACATAGACATCGTTGATTGAGTGAATCAAGCAAATAGCATCCCACTCGAGTAACAACTCATGCGATATTTAGCTTGGGCTCACCATGTATCTAATGTTGAAAGAATTACCATAAATGACAGTAATGTTGAATGAATTAGCAAAATAATTTAGTGATACTATAAACTTGGTGGCATTATTATGTAAGCCATTACCGCTCATTCTCACCTCACTGACTCGTAACGATCAAGCATAAAAACCACATGATCTAACCATGGACAAAGACAAATACAAAATGGCAAAATAAAACTATAAATAGAACTGTAGCAACACGATTGTGTATGAACAAAAATTACATGGCAGTGTGATGGTAATGTGCATTCAACCCTGCTTTTTTTTACAGGCCACTTGCAATTGGACAAGGATTTAAATCATCAAAAGTTCAATTCAATACATCAGTCCGCAACAAGTGTGTACCTGCAATGAAATAATGATCATCAAATTACAATAGAGAAACATGGTAATGTTTCGCGTATATCACTAATTCACCATCAGAATCATTACAATACATTGAGCTATTAGAAAAATAAGAAGTCTTTGCTATGGCAGGTAGCACGCACATAAGCATCCCGTCGTTCCCATCCACACTCAGCACCATCATTTGTACCTGCACCCTGAAGTCACTGAATGAGTTTCTGAACACACAAAAGTAAAGCAGCCACTCTACCATGTATACACAGGCAGCAAACAGCATAGATTGAGTGAGTGTATGATTACGTTAAACTTCATACACAACATGACATGTTATAGATGATCATGTAGTCTTCATATACATATTCGTACACCCATCAGGTGATAAACAAAAGGTATGTATTAGGTCGTTCTGTGTGTATGGTTCACGCATGAGAGGGATTTTGGCCGCCTCATAAAAAATCAGTGCATGCTAAAAACTTATTAGTTGGTCCTTCATGAATCCGATCCATAGAAAATGAGTTAGCGACGACCTTGCCATCATCGGGGAGTTCTGCACCTGCCGCAGCCGCAGATCGAGAAGGTCGCGTGGGGAGACTCAGATCCGGCTACCCTATGGGATCTGTTGTTCCAGGCCAGCGGGTGGGATTCGGATCCTCCGCCGCCGGGCACGGCAGCAGCAACACGTGGAGGAGAAGTAGCAGACGTCCTGGGTGGACATGGGCGCAGGAGAACGAGCTCGCCGCCGCTGCAGCACGCTAGGCAACTGTCGCGGCCACAGACTATGGGAAGGAGGAGGCCAACAAGGCAGGGGCGATGTCAAGTTGAGATGCGAGCAACACCGCATCGGAATGATGAAGGAGAGACTGCGTGACTCCAAGGTGAGGCCGGCGTTGGTGTGTAGGGAGGGCAGCGGCGGACACGTTTTGTGGTGACGCGCATCCTTGTCTCCCTCATCTCCTCCCGCGATCATGCTGCATCCAGATCGGGCGAAAAGATAAACGAGGGGTTAAACGGGAGACATGCGGCGGCTAGGGCTCGCGGAAGGGATGGGTCGGCGGCGGCGAAGGGATGGATCGGCGGCGGCGGCAGCGAAGGCATGGATCTAGTGCGAAGGGATGGAGGGCGGCGGCGAATGATCTGCTGTGCGGGTCGTGCGTGCTAGACTACTGTGGTTCTCGCTCGTATGTGCGTGCGAATCCATGTTTTTTTTGTTGGTTTTTTGTCATAGGTTCGACAGAGGTGGGAGGACATACGAGAAAAAAAACAGCGAAAGATGGGACGAAAATAAACTATGAAGACTATTCACCAACTGCTCCATTAAAAGTAGAGACTAGCTAATCTCAGGGATAGAAAGTAGACACATCGGTGGATCGGAGATGGCAGCAGCAGCAAGCCGAGAGGAGCCTCGCCGGCAAGAGGGCCCTCGTCACCGGCAGAACCAAAGGAATCGGGTACGCCCTGCCCCTGCATGCATCTTTCTTTCATGCAGGCTAGCTACTGTGTTTTGTTACTGATCACACACACTCACTCACTTGCGTACCTGCGCCCGGAGCTCAGGCGCGCGATCGTGGAGGAGCTCGCGGGGTTTGGCGTACGGGTGCACACCTGCTCCCGGAGCGACGCCGACCTGCATGAGCGCCTGCGCGGTTGGCAGGCCGGCGCGGACGCCGGCCGACTGCGCGGCCGCGTCCCGGGCTCCGCATGCGACGTCTCCGTGCGCGGCGACAGGAAGCGGCTCGTGGCCACGGCCCGCGCCGAGATGGGGGGCAAGCTGGACATCCTCGTCAACAACGCCGGCCAGTCCTTCTACGGGGCGGCCACGGACTACGTTGTACGGATACTTCAGAAAGCGCGCGTATCCAGTTGGATACTGCCCCGATATTCGGATACTGCCCCGATACGATTCGATACTTATTCTGTAAGTGTCGCTCGATTTTTTGATTTTAAAAAAAGAAAATAATGTTTGATACTCTTGGGATACTTTTGCGATACTTTTTGGATACCTGAAACCCCTCGTTCGACATGAAATCCCCTCAATAGTAAAGGCACACCTTTTAAAGATATCCAATATGGGAGTGAGTTCATGCCAAAACATGTCTGTCAATGTTCTTGTTCAATTGAAAGGTGAGCAAGAGAGAGTCGATGCACTGATTGGATCAACAAACCCATGAAAATTTCACTGCCAATTAATGAAAGTGGACCAAGTGCATCAAAACAAAGGGAATAATCCTATTGAGACATGCTTTGACCTAGAAGCTCTATTTTGTTTTCAATATTTTTAATAATTGATATATGTAATATCTATATATAAACGTATTCCTGTATCCATGTTTTCAGAAAATTGGCATATCGGACGTATCTCCGTATCGTGTATCCGATACGTATCCAAGTATGTGCAACGTAGGCCACGGAGCGCACGCCCGAGGACTACGCCCGCCTCATGGCCACCAACCTAGAGTCCTGCTTCCACTTCGCCCAGCTCGCGCACCCGCTCCTCGTCCGTGCGGCGGGCGGCGGCAGCATGGGGCGTGTTTGCTTGGGTGGCTCGCACCTGGCTCGCACCCGAGATGCAAAATAGCCCATGTTTGGTCGGCTGCATGACTTCCTCAGCCTGGCCTATGCAAAAAGAGGCCTCCCAGCCAGGCCGAGGGAAACGCAGGATCATAGCGTTTCTTTCGTGCAGGCTCGCTCCTACCTTTTCCCTGCACCCGCGATGCAACCCACTCCGCTTCGTCGTTTCCCGTCCAACTCGCAATCGCACCCCATCGTCTACCACGACTTCGCCGCCCTCGCCGGAGAATGACGCCGCCGGCGCTACTCCACACCCTCGCCGGAGTATGATACCGTCGGCGCGCCTCCACGCCCTCGCCGGATGACGACATCGCCGACGCTCATCCACTGTCGCTGAACTCCGCCATCCTTGCGCGCACCGCCGCCTGCCGACGAGCTCGCCGGAGCTCGCCACGCCGCCTGCTACCGCCCGAGAGGAATAAGGGGGGAGGGAGAGGGGAGCACCTGCGCGTCGCAATACGCAACCGGCGCCGCGTTTCTTCCACATCTCTCCCCTTGAACCGCGCCACCGCCGCCAATCCAGTTACTGGAGTCGAATCTCCGGCGCTAGCATGTCCTCCCGGAAGCCCACCTCCACCACGGCCATCTCCTCCCCGAAACCCCATCTACCAGAGTGGTCTCTCCTGACTAGTGTCGCTGCCTGCACTACCTCTTACAGTTTGGTTCAGATTAGAGTTTAGATTTGTTTTACTCCAAACTAAAATCTGGTAGATAAAGAAACCAAGTATCCAAACTGCTGTAGGGAGTTTGATTTCAGTTCAGATTTGTTTTCTTTGTCTCGAAACTGAAATCAAATAGTACTTGTCAATACTCCAAGGAAATCTCCAAACTGTTGGAGAGAGTTTGATTTCAGTTCAGTCCAAACTGTTGGAAGCACTTGTTTTCTTTGTCAACAAACTTTTTGAGTTTGATTTATGTTCATATTTGCCTTACAAGTACTTGTTTTCAGTTTGGGTTTCAGTTCAGATGGGTTGCCGTGTCTCTAATTGACTAAGAAAACAAGTACTGATGCAGCCTACCAATCAACATCTGTCTTATACAGCACGTCTCATGCACCATATTCGTACAATCCACCAAACACACATCTCAGCTCATACTTGCATCAGCTCACCCAGGCCAGGCTCACTCAGGATCCCCCATGCGATGCAGGCTAGAGCCACCCAGGTAACCAAACACACCCATGGTGAACATCTCCTCCACCTGCGGGCTCATGGCCAACTCACACATGTCGGTGTACTCGGCGAGCAAGGCGGCCGTGAACCAGCTCACCCGGAGCCTCGCTGTGGAGTGGGTGGGCGACGGCATCCGCGTCAACTGCGTGTCGCCGGGGGGCACCCGGACGGAGCTCGCCAATAGTAGCGGCATACAGCTTGACCCGGAGACAGCGCAGAAGATGGGGGGGGGGCGGAGAGCGCGCGCATCCCATTGGGCCGCATGGGCGAGCCCGAGGAGATCGCGTCGCTCGTCGTGTTCCTTTGCATGCTGGCAGCGTCCTACATCACGGGGCAGGTCGTGTGCGTCGACGGTGGCCGCACCATAGCCGCCTAGGCCAAGCTTTGATCCTTCCTTGGCTGCGCCGGCCTTACACCCAGGCCGGTGTTTCACATGAACTTTATTGTGATCACATCCCTATTACTTCATATCTTTTTCTGGTTTTATGTTTTATAGTACCTTGATACGCACTCCCTCCGTCTCATAATATAAGTGTTAAGAACACTCTTTTTTTAGAGAAAAGGCCAGAGCAACAACCACCAAACCATCCACAAAGTATCAGCGCCACTACAAACCAAACTGAAGTTTAACGTACATGGCTCCCAGGCCAGTACACGGCACGCATGCCGGAGACTCAAGAACAACGATAGCAGGGCCAACAACTCCTAACTATCGGTCTGAGCTTGAGAGAGGGAGGTAGCTGTAGCCCGAATCTTGGGAGCCATATCATCAAAAGCATCCCGATCCTCCTCGTTAGTCAATAATCTCCACTGCTGCAGGAATATACAAGTTTTAAATAAGCAATCAGCAGGTTTGCAGGAAAAACATGTTCAATGGTAAACTTGTTCCTAGTCGTCCAGAGGGATCAGCACACCGCTGCAAATCCTACCCAGAACATTCTTCCTTGGGCCCCAACCAGGTTAGAGGCCAAGAGACGAAGGTGTGAGAAGGAAGCCGGCCTTCAAGAGACATGTAGCCACGATCTGATACAACACCGGAAGAGTTTAGCCAAGACAATTGAAGAACATATGAGTTGTGTCCTCTCATTGGCCACACGGGGCACAACGATCAGAACCTGGACCATTGCGCTTGCGAATCTGGTCAGTAGCCGGCAAGCGCCCACGGGAGGCCTGCCATAAGAAGACCTTAATCTTAGGACGGATGTGGGCCCTCCAGATCCACTTAAATTTGGAAGTGATCGAGCCAGAAATCAGTTTGCCATATAAGGATTTCATAGAGAACCGCCCAGACGAAGAGTGGGGCCAGGCAACCTAGTCCTCCTCCTTCGAGAGCACAAGGAAGTGGGCAACAAGACGCTGCCAACCGACCAACTCTTCAGGAGACAAAGAACGTCGCAGCTGAAGGTCCCAGTTATTGTCAGAGAGCTCAGAGATCGAGATCTTGAGATCAGGGCAGTAAGAAAAAAGCACTGGGAAAGCAACAACAAGAGTGGTAGGACTGCACCATCAATCGAGCCAAAACCTAGTAGATCTACCATTATGCACCACGAACTTGACTAGGCCTTGGAACACTGGCCTGAGTTTGACAAGGTCCTTCCAGAACTGAGAAGCGCCTGAAGCGGAGGCAAACATAGGAATGGAAGAAGGGAAGTATTTGGCCTTGAGGATATTTTACCAAAGGGGTTTGTCCGGGGTGGACATGATCTTCCAGCATCATTTGATGATCAGGCATTTGTTCATGACTAAAGTATTGATAATACCCAGCCCCCAAGGCTCTTGGGTCGACAAATGTGGTCCCACTTGACCATACGTATTTGCGCTTGTTATCAGCCGCATTCCAATTAAAGGCACCTCTATGTTTGTCGAACCCAGCGTGAGTGCCATTTGTAAGAAGATAGAACCCCATCACGAACATAGGGAGGGATGAAAGACAAGAATTTATTAGGGCAACCTTTCTAGCTTGAGTATCATATCTGCCCCTCCATGGCATGACACGATTGCCCACTTTAGCCATCGTAGGGGCGAAATCTTTGGCCAAAAGTTTGTCAGAAGAAATAGGTATCCCAAGATATTTCAGAGGGAAGGAGCCTAAAGAACAGTTGAGCAAATGGGAAACACGCAAGGCCTCGGTGTCCATAACCCCAGTGACGATCACTTCACTTTTAGCAAAGTTAATTTTCAGGCCAGACAGTGCCTCGAAGCAGAGAAGAAGAAATTTAAGATGGGAGAGACAAGCGTCATTAAGTCCATCATGATTATCGTGTTATCAGCATATTGAAGGTGGGTAATATCTTCTGGGATAAGATGAGAGCTAACAGGGGATATGTGTCCAGCCCGCGCAGCTCTGGACAAAATGTTAGAAAGGGAATCCACAATGTAGGAATTTTTTTGAAATTGCATGCTAAGTTCCCCAACACATCTCCTCCCACTGAATGCACATCGCCGGAAATCCTGAAATAAATAAATGCGAGCACCATGACTTGAACCCTGGTGGGCTGGGGATACCACTGCCTTCTTAACCGTACAACCACATGTTGGTTCTCTCATGTGTTTTATCAGCTGATAGTTAGTACAGGGGCTAACAGTAAAGTGGAAATTTGGAGCACGGGAAACTGAAATACGTTTTTTAACCCCTTAAGTATGGAGCTTAAAAGTTTCAATTCTTTTAACATGGATGTTCAATATGTTTGATGTGGTCTAAGTACATGTTAAATTTTGGCCCAAAATAATACTCCCTCCGTCCCGAAAAGATTGTCTTACATTTTCCTAAATACAACTATATGTAGACACATTTCAGAATTAGATACATCCGTCTATAGATAAATCTACGAAAGTTTTTTGGGATAAAGGTAATATGTTGTATTATATGCTACTCAAAGAAGATAAAATTCCAGCCCAAAATCAACCAAAAAGCAAACCTATTTTTTCCATGTATCTATATTTTTCTTTTATATCTCATACATGCAAGCACGTATATTGATGAAATTGGCACAGTTATGCTACGGCAGTGTACATGCATGCACAATTTCTTTTGCCTTTTTCCAGACCGCCAAAGACCATATTTTTGACCTTTAAAATAATGGGGTGCAATGTGCCGGACTCATATATACGTGCATACACTCATCTCTATAAACACACACGCACACACTTCCTTTATGAGCACCTCCGAGAGACTGAGCCGGCATGTCATCTTTGAGATTTTACGAAGTTACCGTAGAAGCATGTCCTCCTAGCCATCCAACCACAGATTGGTTCGCGTAGTAGGTAGCTTTTGGTAGGTGTTGGTACTGTTGCTTGTTGCAGAGGACATCTATCTGGTTTCTATAAATGAAAATTCGAGGGAAATCCTTTCACTAAAAATAGTTCCTGAATATTTTCCTAGTCT